CTATAAAATATCATAATTATAATTGATTTTTTTAATTTTAATTCAAATTAAATATAATCCATGATTGTTAATTAAATTTATTGCCCCTGTTTGATCCATGTTCTAAAAAAAATTCATTATTTCAATACTCATTTTTAACCACACAATCTTCAATAAAATAATATTACACGCAGATTCAAAATTTTTTCTTCTTTTTTAACCACATATTTTCCATCATATCACTATTTAAAATATATTATTTACTTAAGAATGTGCATCAAATAGGGCCATTACAGTAGTTTATTTTATAACCTCAAAAACTAACAATTAATGTCTAAAATAATTTTTTTTTGTTCAAAATTGAAATTGTTTGTGACTATAATCTCGTTGGGGGTTATGATTTGTTAATGAAAATAATGAAGTAAACTAGTAAACACCTAGAATTGACAATTAGCTAGTAGCCCACATTAGAAGATTACAACAACATTGGAAGAAGAGTCTCCTTTGAAAAAGGAGCTAGTATTTGACATTAAAATGTATTTGTTCGATGGATACTTCATTTTCACAGGCATGCAAGAATTTCTGCTCGATTGGGATTTTTAGATCCTGGAATGCTTTGAGCTTTGAATTTCCAGGATGATAAGGGCCTATCGAAACTACGAGAGGATCATAACAATTGTTGGATTGTTTCTCACGCAGCAACGACTGAATCTTTTGTATTTGGGGTTTTAACTCTTTTGTCTTCAAAATAGTTTTCTACAGAAGAAATCAACACTTCTATTACCTCAGTTATCCTACGAGGAGGCACATCTACAATGAAACGCGCGCTCGACGACATCTGTTCGTCCTCGGAGTCGGAGGAATCATGCGATCTACGGGTGGATCCAACTTCTGTCATCCCCTAGAAGTGAGCACGAATTTGTGTCAGCACATATTATTAGCAAGGAAAATTTTATTTGTACATCACCACTTACCTAATTTTTTACCGAATTGACAAGTGGAGCCCCCTATTAGGGGGAGGGGGGTCGGTGGGCCCGGCACCCCCCAATATGGAGCCACCACTTGTCAATTTGGTAAAAAATTCGGTAAGTGGTTAGGTACGTGTAGCACAGTTGTTATTAGCAAAATATCAACCTTTTAACTAGACAAATTTCAATTTTAAAAAATCTATGTTTTAAAAAATCGACTCGGATATCGACCCGAAAAAGGAATATGGTCGAGGGTTAAAGAGTCGAATTGGTATCGAACTGAATGATAAATTAAATAAATAAATACACAAATAAATTATAGTGGCGTTTCCCACAAAAGGCTTGACCCCATTTTTTATAATGGTCGCGTGGACAATAGATGTCGACTTCTTCTTTGACTTCTTATATAGTGTTTTGACTTCAGAGCTTCGGCCACTTAGACAGCGCTTCGACTCAGGGCTTCAGCCACTTGCCTACGCATAGACTTCAGGGTTTTGGGGTGTGAGCTTCTTCTTGAGTCTCGATTTCGAGGCGTAACAATAAACATTTAAAAACTCAACATTTCATTATTCATATCTCAACTACATTTCTAAATGTTTATACTATCAATACTTAATAAGTGCAAGTTTTTTTGTGAATTTCTTGCTTTTCTTCCCACAAGAAATACAGGATAAGAAAATAGAAGGTTATTTTTCCTAAATTTTCATAATAAATATGAAATTTAGCAAATAAAAATCACTGTAATCCAAAGATCAACAAAAGAAATTTTGCAAAATAACAATAAAAAAATTGAAACGTAAAAATCAAAGACTAAGTCAACAAATTGTACCAACTAGTAAAGTCAAGCCTCTCTCTCCCGTTCTTCGAACCACTGCTAAACACGTTAAGAGCAATGTGAGTCATCTTGGGTAGGCAAAAGCAATATTTATAGGCCTCCGGCATGAAAGCTTACCCGAACCTGCCAACTGAGGGACCACCTAAAGCCACAACTTAAGGGATTGTTTGGGAGCTCACACTCAACTTTTATTTATTTATTCAGAAAAATAAATACTGAATATAATAAATAATTGTTTTCTAAAAAATAATGACATCAAAATATGGGTATATAAACGTTCTTTTTCCAAAAAGTCTCTAAGAGACGTTCTTTAGAGACACATTCAATCATGTGATGTCAAAATCTTAGCATATAATGTAGAAAACAGTTTTTTTGAATGAATAATATAATGATGTCAAATATAATGTTATCAATCAATATTGTACATGTAACGCGATGAAATAATCCAACAAATAGTTAACCTGCTTTGAATAAATCCTCATGTAAATAAATGAGGTTCACATGGGCTTTACACCCTCTCAATGTGGTGGACCCCACTGTAATTAAAAATAAAAATAAATGAAAAGCAGGCTAGTTTCATGTGTGGTAGATGAGAATCCCATCAACCAAACGCAATTAATACACCAATTAATTAGCCTGAAATTTCATATGTGGGTGATAGAGTCCCATCATGGGCTTCCCATCAACCAAACGTCTCTTAACTTCCCGTTTGATAATTATAGTTTCAAAA